CATCTTCACCACTCTCATCCTTCGTCAACAATTAAAAAATGTTCTGAACAAAAATGTTGACCCAAGAAAGAGATGAAGAGCTTATTTTGTTCCTGGAGATACGTCGTCACGAGAAAGGTCACCAAGGTTCGCTTCTAATGAATGGGTCCATGTTCTTATATATACTATATCGATCATTGTATATTCATGTTTTAATCTTTTTTGTTGTATTTCTTTTTTTGTTGTGTGTGAAGGATCTGATAACATTAGTAGTACGACCAGGACGATGTCGTCTCAACAATGTACTCGCCGGAGAACTGCCGCTGATAACTTCTTGTACTCCGAGAACGAGAAGTCCGATTACGATTGGTAATGTTTTTCCTGATTATGACTTTAAAAATTCTGATAATTCTTAGTTTTAGAAAATGTACCCTTTCTAACAGTTCTCAAATATTATTTTGTTTTGCTTCTATGTATCTTGCGAGTCAAACATTTAATGTATTCCTTGATTTAGGATGAGACTCAACCAAGGAAGTAATTCTGATCAATTTTCTTAGACATTCTTGATAGACTATAAATCTGATTTGTTCTTGTTAAATGAGGCATTTGTGAATGTTTCATTTGGCATGTCTCAAATACGGCCATTGAATAAAGAACATCACAAACATAATGGATTTATAGCTTTGTTATTATTGTTGTTGATCGTTTCTTAATGCTCAGGCTAGTTACACCACCAGGCTCACCGAGTAAAAGCCTAACAAACCAACTCGATGCGCCGGATGTTAACCCGATGGCTCTTGAATCACGGGTACAAAACATCGCTATGTCTCGGCTGATTTCTCGGGATTTATGTATGTCTGAATTTTAGTTTTACTCTATAATGATTTCTTTCTACAGTTACTGAACTACCATGAAGAAGAGAGGGACAACAACATAGCACCCAAAAGCCAAACTATTGGGCTCAAACGACCTTCGTCCTCTCATAGCTCAAGGTCAACGAGTACACCTTCCACACCAACCAGAAGGTCTACAACTCGAGCCACAAGGTCAACAACACCAACCACACGTGTCACCTCAACAACGGCACGTGCCACATTAACCTCGTCCTCCACTAGTAGCTCAAGATCAACGAGCAGACCATCTACACCAACCAGAAGGCCTTCTAGCTCTGGAACCTCACGTGCCACCTCAACAGCTGCACGTGCCACATTATCCTCGTCCATTCGTAGCTCAAGATCAACTAGTAGACCTACACCAACCGATATAGCTTCTAGCTTTGGAACCACGCGTGCTAACTTAACCGCTGCACGTGCCACCACCGGTTCAGCCACCTCTACTCGACCCACGACCCGGCCAATATCGGCACCAAATTCCAAACCGGGATCGAGGACAAATACTCCAACTCGCCGTCCATCAACTCCGACCGGTTCATCAACTCCATTGAGGAGTAAACCAACTAAACCGATGAGTATACCGGTTCCCTCTCCAATATTGAGATCAAGGCCATGGGAACCTTACGAGATGCCTGGTTTCTCTCTAGAAGCACCGTCCAATCTCAGAACTACGTTACCGGATAGGCCACAAACCGCTTCAAGTCGCATAACCAGAGCGTTTGGTACGTCTAGTGGTGGTTCAAGATCATCATCCATAGAGCGCAGCGTTGCAAAAAGGCAGTCTTGTTCGCCTTCAAGAAACCGAGCTCCGATTAGAAACGTTAATGGGAATGTTCCTTTGTTACGTGGACGACGAGGAAAGACGAGCAACAACGATGATGGTGGCTTGATAAGTCCTGTGGCTATGGAGAACCAAAAGGTCGATAAAGTTGTGAATATGAGAAAATTTGCTCCACCGCAGCTGACGGAAAAAGGCGGTAGAGGAGATAGTGACGGTGGCGTGTCCACCGCTGGAAAGTCGAGCTCAAATGATGGTTTTGGGTTTGGGAGAAATCTATCTAAAAGCTCCATCGATATGGCCTTGAGACATATGGTACGGTAACAAATGAAATTTATTTTCGTTAAATTTAAAAAGTAGGTAGAAACTATTCTAGTAGTGTTGCAATTTTGATCAAATATATATGACAACCAATCTGGTTAGGTAGTTGTTTAAGAGGTTCAATCAGCTGATTAATCATTTTTAGTCAGTTCGTTGTATATACCATCTTTAAAGTTATAAAATCGTCTTTTTTGTTGTGTTTTACATTTTGAGCATTTCTCTATAAGATCTTTAGTACTTTGTTTTCAAAGTTGTAATGGTCTCTCTCTCTGTGTTAATAGGATGTTAAACGAGGAAGCATGACGGGCAATTTCCGACCGATAGTGACGAAAGTTCCGGCAGCTTCATTGTACAGTGTGAGACAGTCAGGGATCAGGAGAAACCGGCCGGTCAGTAGCAGCGGTAGCTCGGAATCGAGTGTCAACATTTTGTGCTTAGATGACGATAATCTCAGCGACATGAGCTACTCTTAGAGTTACAATTAAACTCTTTGTGTAGTATAAAGATCTAGAAAAAATCTCTGTCTGAATCATGAAGGTGTTATGTGTTTCTTGCTGATGCTATAAGAGCATCTGCATTGGAGACATTTTGTAGGTGTCTTTAAATATAAAATTATTAAAAGTTGAGTAAAAGGAAGAAWKARAGTGTTTTTGGTTRAAATAATGGGGTGTATTGAAATATAAAATTAATAAAATTTGAGTAAAGAGAGGAGATAGTGGATATTGTTGGAGAGATTGTGTCTTTAGGAAGACATTAATAGTGACTTTTGGAAAGAGAATATGGATGTGTTTAAATATAAAATTAATAAAAGTTGAGTAAAAGGATGAAAGAGAAGTATAAAGTTGAGTAAAAAGATGAAAAAGTGTGTTTTTAATATTTGTTTATTTAAAGACATCCACAAAATGTCTCGAATGTGGATGGTCTAAGAGACTCTTCCTGGTTTTGCCTCTATATTTATTAAGGCTCAACTATAAGAATGGCCATAAATTTTGGG